AGTCCTTCCTTCTTCAGGGATGAGTTACCCTAGTGATTTTATAAGATAGACCTTCCTTCTTCAGGGATGAGTTACCCTAGTGCTTTTATAAGGTAAACCTTCCTTCTTCAGGGATGAGTTACCCTAGTGCTTTTATAAGGTAAACCTTCCTTCTTCAGGGATGAGTTACCCTAGTGCTGTTATAAGGTAAACCTTCTTCTTCAGGGATGAGTTACCCTAGTGATTTTATAAGGTAAACCTTCCTTCTTCAGGGATGAGTTACCCTAGTGATTTTATAAGATAGATCTTTCTTCATGAATTACCCTAATGCTTTTGGAAGGGAATTTTCTGAAATCACTTGTTACTGGATTCATTGTTTTGTTCATAATACTGGTGTTATCAGTAGTTATTATATTGAATGAATTATACTTAAATTTCATATCTTTAAATAATTTTGGTTAGTTTGTTGAGAATCTTGTTTCAAAAGCGATGTTAACTTTTACTGATAAGTTTTGATTGGATTCAGTAAAATTTGTCTTTCGTATTTAAAACGTATGTTGAAATGTCGAAAATTATTTTGTTCATGTTGTAATGAATTTGAAAAAAGTTGTTACTTAAGCTGCCCAAATGTATAGCGTACTTTAGAAACAATTGTTCATGAAATTTTGAATGATTCAGATAAAGTATGTGTCTATAGAAATGTTTTAATGTGGTTGAATTTTCTTCCTATTTTAACCCACTGTTGCAGCCTCATATATATATATATGTATGCGTGTGTGTGCGCCTGTCTGTTTGTTGTGACATTTCTCTCAAAATTCTAATTTTTATTTATTGAATAAAATATTTTTTGGGAAAAATTCCCCAAAGAGATCTTTAAATTAAATCTCACTTGATCTCTAAAAACTGGATACATTTCATTACGTTGAGAGCCTGCACTTTGTAAAAGTGTGGTTTTGGTTCTTTAATGTAGAGGACTTGTGGAAAATAAAGATTCTGAACTTAAAGATCCAGAAAGTGATGAAGAACCTGTGACCTGGTTAGAAAGTCTTGGGCTTAGCCAACAAGATTTTCCTGCTCTGAATGCTCATAAAATAAAACTGTAACCTTTACGCTGGTTCATTCCTTTTTTTTTATTTTAGTTTCTTAGTTTTTAATATTGTGGATTTATTTACATTTTAACTTTGGATTTAGAAGGAAAATTAAAATTTCAACATTAGGTATAGGTTTATAATGTATGTTATGATTAGAAGATAGGCCCATGAAGGCTATTACAATACTTCTAAAGTTTACTATGTCAAACTTGTGTGAAATTGATGGTAGATTTCAGCCATTTCTATCTTTTAGAGTATTGAATCAATCAGGTTTACCTTAACAGTAATTCAGACAAAAGGAAAAGCATAAAAAAATTGACAGACGACCTCAATCCCTCGTCTGCGTGAGAGGGCCAGAAGTTCAAGCTCTTTTCAACTTTTTGTTAAATAGTAGGTCCTGTATTACCAACAGTGGTCCATTAGCTGGTATACCTCCAACTCTTCTTGCCCCCGTAGGATTCTTCGGAGCAACTCTTCGAAGCCTTAAGGTATGTTTCACACACTAACACTTGGACTTTGTGACTTTTTAAAGAAGACTATTTATTGAAAGTTATAAAATTGAGCGACTTGATGTGATATAAAACAAAGGAAGAATATAGCCATAGTGAAACACTTTAAATCCCATAAAGCTTACACTTATTCTGCAATATTTTATAAGTTTCCTGCACGTGTGACAGTCATTGAACAGTGACACCTAGCTATCACATAAACAATTGGCCAGCTTTTGTGTTCAGTCACCGATTTGTTTATTGCTGTAATGAGACTTCTGTAGGAATTCTAGCTTCTCTTAGGAAACTGTTGGTGGCCTGTAAATAAATTCTAACTCACGTAAGGATGTTTTGAGAAAAGTAAAGAATTTTGTTGTCGTGCCTTGCCATCTATCATTCTGCTAACGTTAATCCACTCACAAGTTACCTTCACCTGGAATACACTGAATGTCTTTGGTCTTTCACAGAATGAAACATGTATGATTACTATGTTTTAAACATAAACTTCTGATTCTTTCAAGGTGCTTGTTATTACCAAAAACAGACTTCAGAAACCTGTCAGGTTTCAACCAATTGAAGCACAAGTTGTCCTTTTTTAAAATTATTATAATGACATATCTTTAAAAAAGGTAACCATTTCTGTTGAACAAAGTGAGACTTTGGAACCGAGGTTCACAACCTGTTACTGCCAAGAAAGAAAACTAATTGTGCTCTTCACTTAGGGACTGGGTGTGTTATAAGAGTGATGGTCATCTCCTGCTATTCAGTCTGACAAGAACTGGCAATGGATAATATTGACTATCTGCCTTTCCTCTTGTATACCACTTAAATTAGGGGCAGTTAGATTTCCAATAGCTTCATGCAAATTTAGCAAATATTTTTTGTTGGTTTCTCAATTAACTTTGTCACAATTATCTTTTAACATTATATATCCTCATTCTTTCTTCAGACTTCTCATTATTAATTTTCCATCGTGTCTTTACATAATATATTCCTAATCTTTTCGTTAGCTTTACATTGTTAATTTTCAGTTTTGTTTCTATATTATAATTACCTCTGCCACTGAAGGTTATGTTTTCAACCGTGTGTGTGTGTGTGTTGGTCAGCAAGATTTCTTGTAAATAGCTGAATGGATTTGAGCAAAAGCTGATATACATTTTGATTATCACCTAAACTTAGAAGTGATAAGTTTTGAAGGGTCTAAGTCACAGAAATCCCTATCTGTTAACATGGAGACAGATTTTTCACATTGTTTTAGCTCTGTAATTCAGTTAAAACTGATTGGACTTTGATGAAACTTGGTGGACACATGTAGAATATTGTTCCTCATTGTCCTGCCAAAAATAGTTCGTGTTCGTTGGTAACAATGGACACATTTTGATATTTGTTGTGAGCCGATTACGATCAATGCTACATGGCGGAAGTATGCTCTCTACCGAGTGCCCCTATAGTTCCCGCTGTTTCTGCTAGCCTGACATTGTTATTTTTCTGTTTTCTTTCTATGTTATATATCCTTACTCTTTCTGTTAGCTTCTACTTTGATAAGTCTAAACTCAAAGTTGAAACATCATCAAAAAATGTTTTTCTAATTTCACAAAAAACGAGAAAAACACTTAAGTAGATATAAAAAAAAAAAAGAATAGCACATGCTGTATCTCATGAGTTAGGCATTGAAAATATTAAGAAAATAATAAAAGATACATTTCCAGAAACGCTTGGGGGAAATCCAATCAATTATTTATGTAAATAAATCAACTATATAGTATTTGGCTACTACAAGTAATGAATAATTTAAGTGATTTTTCAAAGTATAACTTTAAGTTACGTTTATATTTCAGTGTTACATTACTCCTTGATCTAAAAGAGAATATAATTTATTGTATCAAATCATGTTTGGATTTTAATGTTCACATCTTTAGGTCAGACAGAGCTGGATCAAACAAGGTACAAGTGACCTTCAGATGATTGAAATTTCTGGTCCTATTCTACCCAGTGCTTTACATGGCCTCTGTTCCCTCCTGCAATCCACTCAGGAAGAATTCTCAGCACACCTAGCAACTCACGAACTAACGATACCTTTCAATGGGGCTTTTTCAAGCTCCTCTAGGTCTGGGTCTTCTGGGCCACCACCGGTGTTTGCTACTGAAAGTTTAAGTGACTGTGGACTACCTTCTGATTTTCTAGAACTGATATGTTCTGAAAACCATCTCGCTGATGTGGTTGGTGTGAATGTTGTGAAGTTTGGAAAGGGGCTTTATACGTGGAATACCTGATACTGCTGTCGTTTATTAAAGCAAGAGGCTGATGTTGTTGAGGTTCACTGTTATAAAACACTCTCCATGCAATGTACAAATATATATATATACATAAATAACTAAAAATAAACGGTTTCGTTTTAAAGACAATTTCCAGATATTTTGTGAATGGAAAAAATAAAAAGACAATGTATTTAACATAAGCTATGAAACTGTCTTTTAGGTTTGTGTGTTAGTATCCCTGTCTTCAGGTTTGTGTGTTAGTATCCCTGTCTTCTAGGTTTGTGTGTTAGTATAACTATTCCAGGTTTGTGTGTTAGTATCCCTGTCTTCAGGTTTGTGTGTTAGTATCCCTGTCTTCTAGGTTAGTGTGTTAGTATAACTATTCCAGGTTTGTGTGTTAGTATCCCTGTCTTCAGGTTTGTGTGTTAGTATCCCTGT